AAAAATTTTTCATCAAAACACCATATGTTTTTACACTCAATATCTTTGATCGCAAATTCGACCACATCATTTCTGAAGCACTAACCGACACACAAGCTTACGAAAGTTTTAAAGAAAGATTTCAATTATTTTCACTAACCTTTCATTTCCTTGCACCACATGAACGAGATTTGCACTGCTCACACGACATTATGTTACGCACTAAACAAACCCACACATATACACATTACCGCTTCATACAAAATCACTTTGACCTACACACTCCATCAAGACAACCACACCATCGTTTTCAATTTATTAACTCTAAATACACATCACCATTTTTTCTTAACTTCACATATTGCATCAAAGATACTAACCTTCACGGTATTCTTCGCAATTTTGACCCTATAACCCAAATGTATATTTTTTGTCCCATCACAAAGACCTTCAACGCAGAAGAATCCAGACCCTTCCTTATCCCACATGAATTTGTTCAACCTATAGAAATCCCCATATTAGAATTCATCCACAACACTAAATATAACCACAAATTATATAATCTCATCCAAAACACACCTTATGAGTTTGCAGTTGGCACTGAAGAACTAAAAACCATTAAAGCACTTCAATTGCTTTGGCCACTGCTTCAAACTAAAAACATCATTCGCATACTAGCAAAATTACTAACAAATTCCGACATAATCCACGACATCTTCCCCCACGGTTTTTTCCCCGACGACTAACAGGTAAGTATAATTTATACATATTCTTAACTAATAAATTTAAAATAAAACACTAACCATTCTTTATCCATGTCTTATTTAGATTTTTAGTCTTCATCCCACGATCATCTGCAAAATACACAAAAGAAAAATAAAAAATAGAAAACTTCTTCAAATTGTTCAAAACTCTATTAATATTTTGCACAAGCTAATCTAAATAAAATTCATACCAATGTAGTAAATTAATTTATAAATTGTTTCCCCACAAGCAGTAAATCTAATAATGATGAAAATTTGTAACTTAATTTTTCCCAAAAACTAGCAGTAAAATTGAAATTCTATGTAGTAAATGGATAAAACGAAAATGCAGTACTAACTTTTTGATATTTCATTCACTCACACAAAAATTCTATCCAAACTCGCACAGCTCGCCCACGAAGAGTTGTTTAAAATAATGAATTTCAGTTTCAAGTTTTCACACTCAACAACTCTAACACACGATAACTTTCCTTTAACCCGGTTGGAAAGGAATTATATACTAAGCAAAACTAACCAATGCAGCTTACTAAACACCACAGATCATAGAATAACAGCATGACTAAGAAAAGGAAACCAACGGTACCCAAACCGGATTAACCCAGTTTAAAACTGGATAAATTATTCTTTTGAAGACTATTATAAAGTCTAAGAAAGAAATAATAAAACACAAAAAAGTCGAAAGACAAACCCATACCAAAAACAATTTGATTTTTGAAAAAAGGACACAACCAACGAAACATAAGGAAAACCACAATAAACCCAACATAAAACGTTATCACATAACAGGACCTCTCACAGAAACCGCACGAAATCATACTCCCACTCCTGGCCTAACCCACCAGAGAGGACGTCCTGAGCATGCTCTATAGCCGGCCTAACCCACCGCGCTACATCCACGCTTTGTGACCACACTTCTATTTTTAATAAGAGGTACTCAAGGGTGAGTAACTCTTCAAAATAACCAAACTAAAACAAAAAGCTTTTGTGAAAACAACTAACCAAAATCATAATTAAAACACCAAACTAATAAAACTTTTATAAAATGTAAATTATACCTTGCAGTATATAGATCAGCATACAACACCAAAGACGAACATCCAAAGACAAAATGACCCCACTACACTCGAAAAAGAATGGCCAACCACAATCAATATGCCGCCCACAATCACAACTCAAAGGATTTAGAGTACGACTTGACTTCGCAGAAAAGGACTTCATTGAACTAGACCAATGACCACCTCGATGTTCAAGTATACGTACAGATCCGAGTAACCAGGCATCCCCTCCACGCAAAATCTCCACGCCCTTCCCAGACAAGGTCAAACACAAAAGAAGTTCTCTACATGAAACGGAAAAACCTGTCATAGCCAACCATTCTGAAATCAGATTTGAGTTTGTTGCGAAAACCCAGTCGTTGTCATGGGAAGACACAACGATTGAACCTGGAACTTCTCTAACAAGAGAACCCAGAAGAAATATGATGTTCGCCAAATACCAACGTTCATCATCCATCCTTTGAATTACAGAAAGACTATTCTAAAAAACTCTGTAAAACCCGGATGGGTGGAACCAGATCTAAACTACATTTTATGATTGGATAAATTAGATATTTTACCACTGTAAAGTATTTAATATTAACCAATCATGATCCATCTAACTAACAACCCACTTATTTGTAAGTGCTGAAATTACTTGTAATTTCAGCACCAGAGAGATTTGAATTTAACTTAGAAATTAGTTGCCTCTCCAAGATAACTTCAGCAGCCGCAATAAACCAGTATACCCTAGATCTATTGAGCCTAGCAGAGACTAGTTAAACAACCTGAGACTAGATAGTATAAGAGTAAGATTAGGATCGGTTTTAGACTAAGAAGTTGCGCGAATCTATCCGGCCGAAAATAAGATAGCGTGACGAGCAGACGGTGTACCCTATCCGAAATTACTCTATGAGTTAACCACCTCGGTCCTAACTCACAAAGTATTCTTTTACTGAGTTTTCGATTTTTGCAGTGTAAATCACATGAGACAAAGGACACCCTTCTAACTATCTCGACCAAAATACCAGTTAGATTTGGAGAATCTGCTTCAACTAAGAATTCCCTGGTTATCCTCTGGGGGCCAAGATCGTTCAAATAATTGCTTACAAATTTTTGTGGTGGTTCTATTATAATCTCCTGTAAAAATTGCTAGCCCCGCGTAAATCTCTTGCTCTTTTCGCTGTTACTCTCACTTCTTCTTAAAGTCAATCGAACACGCGTGGAAAAAAGAGCCCGCAAAATTATATTCGATCAACACCGTAAAGTAAATCAAGTTAAGGGAATTATCAAGTCATGACAGAATAAATTGCTAGAGCTCGTAATGATGATTCAACTATGGTTTAATAAAATAACGATCTCACAGTTCAATTTAAGATGGGTACTCCTAACTCGGTTGTCTCTTAAGCAACCCACGAGTTCAATCTCTAAAATTAACCCTTTTTCTCAAGCTTCTAGAATAGGTTCCCATTTCGTCCATACCCAGATTAACAGTCAGGCTACACCAGAACTTAGTGTTAATCTCTCAAAACTTACGATCGGAACCACAAGCTTCTCTTTTGGTTAATTTTTCTCTGCTCTAAAACCCGCGTACCAATCCCCCACAGGTATGTCTAATTGTACACCGGTATAATTAAATACCCCCCTCCCGACATTCCTTACGGTGCATTCAACGTTCATCCTGTAAGCTAAAGGTTCCCCTAGGTACCCCAGTTCTAAAGTCTACTCTCCCAGTGGCTATTCAGATCGCTTTAAGTAAATATTAATTCCAACTGAACCTCAGCTAAAGTTCGCGTTTAAATGGCAGCAATCCCAAGGTTTTTATTTGGTTTATCCTACACTTGTTCCAAGTGTCAATTAAAGGTCAACCCGGGGTCACCAGAGTTCAACCAAAGAGCAATGAATTCAGAGCCGGGTGGGTGTCACACTTGCCAAGTTTCACCCATACCCGATTAATACTCCCCGAATTATCACTTTTCAAAACCTCATTGTCACCTTTTCCGGGGATTGGCTATTAACACCGGAACGAGCCAACGGAGAGGGTTTGTTTGCGAGATGTATTTTTCCGGGGCTTGGATCAACTACACATTAACGCCATAAAATCAATATGCCCTCGCTCATTTTTTCCCGCAAACTACCTATTTCCGGTCCCAGGGATATTTTTCCCCGGTGCTAATAACTTCCGGTCGGATTATGGGACTCGTCCAAACTCAAACGCCATGCTTGTCTTACCTCTATCTACCAACCCTCCAAGTTTCCGCTTCCTAGGGTCACCATGAGTCAAGAAATAGCTTCCGGAAGCCAAAGGGTGGGTTTATTTGCCATAAAACCGGAAGTTGGGGTCCGAAGGGTCTTGGTTTTCAAAGTTTAAGCTTCCCTCATCTAGGACTTCCTTGTACTAAGTTATGGAGTCATTCCTATTGCTAGGTACCGAGACCCCATAGAGCGATTTGCACTTCCGTGAACCGCTATCACTCGGCCCCAGGGGGTCCCCCGGGTTCAGGGTTTTGCATGCCCTGGTGAAATCATCTCTATTATCCCTCCTGTGATTTTCACAATGATCCGACCAGCGGTTCCTAATCCGGGGGGGTCGCACATTCTATGCCTCTTCAGTTTTTCTCCAAAGACTGGACTAGTTCCTCAGAGCTTGGGCTATTTTGAGCTTAGTGCTTTATTAACTTTTCTATTTGCCGAGTTGGCTAATCAATCTCACCAGCATACTCCCATCATGAGTGTCTTAACAAGATTATAACTCTTACTGGAACAAAGAATTTTGAATTACCCCCTTTTGTTTGCCCGCTAAGTAGATTAGGTAAAGTGTGAGCGAATTGTTTTTTTCAATTCCACACGATATCTTGCCAAGATATTTTGAAGTACTACAGTAATCGTACCAAGATTTAACAAAATTTTGGTGAGATATCGAAGCTACTTGAAAAATTCAGAAATAACTATTTTCTTTGCGAGATAATCCATATAAAAACACAATTTTGGTGAGATATCGATGCTACTTGGAAAATTCAGAAATAACTATTTTCTTTAATCCAAATAAAAACATAATGAGATTAAAAACAAGTGCAAATTGTTCCATTTTTGCAACATATCAACGGATCATTTGTTAAAAAATACGCTCTCTCAGGCTTGAGATTGGGTTCAAAACTTTACCGAAACCTGTGATTTTCCTGATTATGAGCCTGGCCACATTTCATAAAAATTCCATGTTTAGTGCGGCCTGGCTGAGCTGGGGGACCAGTTTTATCTAAACTGCACCCTCTACTCCCTCTCGGAGGGAAGCGTGTACGCCCAGTTCTCAGCCAACATCTCCTCGGAGGATTGGAGTGCACTGAGACTTCTGAGTCCCTACCACGTCGAATATGAACTGCAGCAACAGGTGCATTCGTTCCGAATCGTGTTTTTGGAGAGCGGTAAGTCTTTATAAATTCCAGTTTTTGGCGCTTATGACCTCAAAAACTGTGTACCCATAATATCACCTTCGGAATAAAAGCTTCGTAATAAAAAAACCTTAATTTTATCCCATTTTTCAAATTCCTAGGAGTGCTGCTGTTTGAAAAACATTTAGGAGGTATGAGATCAGAATGAAAAATCAAAACTTGTCTATTTGAACGCATTCCGCTCCACTTAGGCAGGCCGAGTGTTTGTTAGGGTACTTGTATTTATTCGTTTAAAATGTATAAGATTTGTTTTTTTTTCAGACTTCAATGGAGAAGAACAGTAAGTAGGCTTCTTTTTAATTATATAAATAATCCTGTAAAATTGGCTTGTTTAAGATAACAGGTCTGTCATCCGGCCGGATAGAACAAACCTCTGAACATTTTTTGGTTCCGACCATTGAAAATGGGGAAGAATTTGCATTGGGTTGTGCTTTATTTTTTTTTGTTTTTCACGAAAAATCAGGTACCACAAATAATCATCGGACTACGTTGAGTGATACATCATAATGAAGTTCTTTCAGTTGTGATTAGAACCACATTAAAAGTGTCGAGAAAAACCGGTTCGAAGTTTTTGATTTTTCGTCTTAATTCGAGCGAATGAAGCAAGCGAGCAGGATTACAACAGCTGAGTTATGCCTCATTTAAAACCTTAAAACTTATATTTAAGCAAGCAAAACTAGTTTTTTGGAGTGTTTTTAGCTTCATTTTGGAAACCAAAAACTTCAGAAAATTCAAACATTTTCTGCAAAAAAAATTAAAAATCATTTTTTAAAAGTTTTTTTTTATGTCTGTAAAAACTTTTGTTCAAATTGCCTATATTACTATCCCTGTCTAAGATGCGTAAAATCCATTTTTACGTCAGATTTTTTTTATCACACCAAGCAGAAAAAAACTACACTAATTTGGAAAAAACTTTCTAAACCGTTGCAAAGTTATTAAAAAGAAAGAAAAAGGCATATAATGCAATTTATTCAGTTGGGACGTAGCTGACGTATACTCTCATGCCTTGGAGCAAAAAGGACGTATATTTTTATGCCTTGGAGCAGAAGCGGAAAAATGTATTTATGCCGTGGAGAAGATAGACAACGTCAACTCCAACAGAATTACCGGGGTTAGTGTTACAATCGGCAACAAAAAAACTTATGAGAAATTCAATGGACATTTTGCTACCAAGATGATCATTGCATTCGAAAGATAGAACCATCTTTGCCGATAACAAAAAAAGAGAATCCTTAGAACAATTCCATTCAGAACTGGTCGAGTTAGCGTCACAGGCAGATTGAGGAGACCGAAAAGAAGAGTGGGTGAGAGATATGTTTCTACTGCCCACATTCAACATGAAAAAATCGTAGATGAATTGCTAGCGGATACACATTCACCACGAGCAGCCTATGAATATGCGATTAGCCGAGAAGAAGATATTGAACGCAGTAAAATCTGAAATCAAGCTCCTATGGCCTATTGGAAGCCCACACATAAATCAGACAGGAGCCCATGGAGTATAATCAACCACGAAGCCGCGGAGGACAATCCAACTACACTAACCAAATAGAAGACGACGCCCGAGTGATCGCAAAGTTGTCCTCAGGAAAATTATAATGCATGACGATAACAAAACGTGGGAGGATGAATTAAGTCATGTTATATGCGCGGAAGACAATTTGGACCAAACCACATAAGACCGTGTCAGGACATTTGTGTCCCAGACATTTATGTCCCGGCAAAAACAGTCCAAAATGCAAAAAGTGTCCAAGACATTTGGTTCCCAGACAAAATTGTCCCAAAATTGTCCAGGCTATTGCCACACTACTTAATGACCGGATTAATTTGATAAGCTCTCAATAGGAAGGATTAAATCGATAAGGCCACGCAACTGAGCACTTAGACCAGAAACTACTTCGCGCAGCAAATTAGAGACGAAATTAACACAGGACTCAAATCATTTACACATACCTACACAATTATTGCTTGATTGATAATGTTGCCAAACGTAGACACGAGAGATCATCTGCGATGGCACCTTTTCTACGGCCCCGAGTGTGTTCTTTCAGATATACACCATCCACGCTTCAGACTACTGGTAACACAAACAACTACAGACTAGACCTGGAATTCCGAGAGCATGTCCGAATGCTGCTGAGTATCGCTTTTGTGCCTGTAAGTGATGTTTCTACTGCTTTCGAAACTCTTCAGAAGACATGCCCTGAGACAGCCCACCCAATCTTCAATTACTTTGAGGACAATTACGTCGGTCGGCTCTCGGCGGCAAATGGAACTCGTCAAAACCCCAGATTTGACGTTGACAGCTGGAGTTGTCATCAACGTGTAATAACCGCGCGACCCAGAACCAACAATGCTGTTGAAGGTTGGAACAGCAATTTCGTCAAACTCGTGAATGGCAAGCACCCATCATTCCCCAAACTCATAGAAAAATTTCAAGACGAACAGAAAAACGCTGAAATCTTGATCGAAAAAATGTGTGCCGGGCAAAAAGTGTCACGTTATAAAAAACCTCTTTATGTCAAACTTGACAAAAACCTTTCAGAATTAGTTGCGGCCTACGACCCAAGTAAACTTCTGAGTTTCCTAAACGGGTGCAGCAGCAACATCAAACATAAGACATGCACAGCAAAAGACAAAACTGAGCAAATTCCCAAACTGAGGAAATTGGACACAATGCAGAAGGATGCATATCAACAAATGTCAACTATATTATATGCAAGGTCAACCAGAAAACAAAATGAAAAAGAAGAAAACGCTACCCAACTAGACAAAATGACCCGATGTTATACGCGCGAACGGATAGAAAGACATACCCAGAAATAATTTTGCCGTAATGGCAAAAGCAGAAGCTTTTGAAATAAAAACATCTGCAGAGATCTTACATTATGATTTAAATGGTAAAGCTGTAACAAGAACCTAAACATATGTTCGTCATTGCGGATTCAGGAAGTCAGATGTCCTTCTTAAAAGCACGTTCATCACAACTATTTAGGGAAAACAACAGCGCAGCGATATTTAAATTTATTTCAACGGAAGACGCGGCAAAAATTTGGTCTGTTACGACGGAGGCTTGTTATTTCTGATTATTTTGTCCTCAAATCTTCTGCTCCAAATGGAAGACTGATCATCGCAATTGAATCGGTATACTGAACAGTCCCATCTGCGTCTTTTATGATTGTTGATGAACAAAAAAGCGATTTTAATTGGAGGTGAAACAACTTACCGAAAAATGGTATCAAATGGGTACAAGACGAGCCAAAACAAAATCAAACGATGGGTCAAGGATAGCTTTCAAAAAAAGTGTGTTCAAGTTGCAAAATCGAAAAACTTCGTGATGCAAACACAAATCCTAATCCCCTTAAACTAACTTCCCAGATCAAGTAGAAAAAAGGCTAAGCAAGTTTATCGATCAGAAGCACATCATCAAGCTAGACATGTGTTTGGACAAACAATTCATAAAGACTAATAATGATCACAGCATAAATGAACCAAACAGTAAAGCTGGGCTTTAGCTTAAAGAAAATTAACAATTTCATCAAAAAGAACGATTAACAATTGCCAAACATCAAGCTACTATGGGCAATATTGCACAAATCGTGAAAGCAGATATTATAGAACAAACTATTGTTACAAAGCTGGACCCCAAGTTTCAAAAAGAAAAAGATCAATGCATTTTTATCCTCGCCGAAGGCAAAGCCACAGGCAATTATCAACTGCAAACAGTATTCTACGGTGGAACGGACCAGCCGGCAGAGTTTCAATAAAACGTATGCATACCCAGACAACATATTACTAATTAGGAAAGGTCAAGGGAGCATCACATAAGTACACTTAAAATATGCAAATTTTTATATGAGCTACTAAAATGGTTAGGCTAAACCATTAATAGCGAATCTATAAGACCACTAACTAGAAATTTTGGTGCAACTGAAAAGCTGACACCACCAAAAACTTTTTTGCCGCTTAAACTTTTTATGCACACAATTCACCAGTTAACAAGGTATATATCACAAATAATTCAAATATCAGCATCACTAAAATGATTTCTGAAAAAAAAACACAACATGAGATAGGAAAGCAGTAGAAAATCTAAAATTCTTACAATTAAAAACCTAATTGAAATAGTATCTAAAATAACAGAAAAAAAAAAACATTTCGATCAAAAATTTGAGACCCGCGTGGTCTGCGTTGCCTCAAAAATATGGTTAAGGTCCAAATCTAGAAAACTAGTAATTGTGCACGCATCCAGATTTGTGAAATCATTAGAAGAAACACAATTGGTATGCGCTTGAACTTTTAGGAATAGTGTGGTCAATCGAATCTTTTAAATAGCGTTTGTACGGGAAAAATCTGCCGACATCACATACCAGCAGGTTTTAATAAGTGCATTAAGTTCAATTAAAAAAAAAATCGGCCATATTAGTGTCACAGTTTGAATAAGTATATTAATAGCTTTAAATTTTGATATTGAGCGTTTTGGAGGAAACAAAACGGGACGAATAGATTTTATGTCCTGTAATCCAATTGAATTGGCACTAACTTCTAGTGAGTATGATGACGAATTTGATGATGCGTCTATTTTTTTGGTTCGTTTTCAAAATACTGAGATCACTGAAAACCTGGTCATGAGCAACGTAGCCAATCAGAATTGTGCAACGAATCAACTGATCAAAAAGCGCGCAAAAAATGAAAGATTATTAACAAGGCAATCGAAAACTCAAGAGAGAATTTATTAGAAAGCGGTCAAGCAAATTGTAAGTCACTAGCTTACTTACTCGAAATTGCATCATGAGAACACTTGACAAACCCATCACAGAAGTTGAACTTTGTCAAACAATGAGGAAACAAAACTGACTCTAAAGGTTTCAAATCAGGATTCATCCCCGATTAATCCGCCAGAGCGAGAACTGGAATTGGAAATAAGAGCTCATCTTCACCAAATCAAGCCCGACGATGACACGATAGAAAACAGATTGCCAAGCGATTCAGATAAAGATGAGAACCTCTCAGACTCCAGGTGGCATTGACAAAAAATACGACTTTAATCACGCAAAAAATGGACTGTTACTAAAACTGTTACTACCACATCAAAATTCAAACGAAAACAAGTGCAAGCCGCGCGGAAGTAGAACAGGGGAAGCAGCATATCAGAAACAACAATTGGCCATCATTTCCGAACAAATGTATATCGGAAAAACTAAACCTAAAATACAAAGTGGTAAAAGAACAAGTAGACAAAAACATGAAAAAGCGTGTAGAACAGGTAGCAAGAAAACTGATACGCATAGCTAAAAAAAGTAAAGGATCCCAAAAGCATTTGAGCAAAAATATACATCAATTGACTGAAAACTACTCACTTACATACAACACACAACTTGGGTACAAACAATTTGAAAACAGCTCAAACTGTTGCAAAAATTGACGGATTTTTTGTTTTTTCCTAATCGAGACGGCAAAGAAACGCAAACGATATGACAATTGAATCGGGCACAAGCGACAACAATGCTAAAAGGACAAGACAACCAACAGAAGACAGCAAACTAGGAGAGCAACGATACATCGGAGGAGCACGAGAAGAACCAGGATGAAGAGCAGATTGACCAACAGAAGCGAGACGAAGACGAATTCACAAACAAAAGAGAAGATTAGGAAAAAAAAGACAGAAATGTTTCCCAGGGACCAAATACGAAAACAATCAAGTCCCACGGGTACTATAAAACTCAAACACTAAGTGTCAAGCGGACTACAAAGCTCAAAAATTAAACGCAGTAGGAGGCAGTCATCCGGCCGGATAGAACAAACTCTTGAATGTTGTGCTATTTACATGTTTAATTTATATATACAAGTCTAGCAACCATTCATCGATTTATCAATGCGTTCGGATTTAGGATTATCAAATATTATATATTACTGTATGAAACGGTCATTTAATTTGGAACCGTCATACAAAATACAGTCTACAGTTATAAATAATCCTATATAGGATCAGGGGCGGATCTAGGATTTTCTCGAGGGGGGGGGGGGTATTTTCAAAAAAATTTTCGAAAATTTTGTCGACCTTTTTTTTTTAGGTCAACCAAATTGATTATTCGAGCTCTCCCAAAGCACTGTTTTGGCCCTATTTTGGATAAAATTTCTGCGTCGCATGCAAAATTTTGAAAAAACAGGCCGAAACGGGGTTTTTAGGCACTTTTTGTAAAATTTTTGACCCAAAAGCTGCGTTTTTTCGGCGCGCGCTCCCTCCTCAAAATTAGTATATATTGGCGCCGAAGGCGCCTTCATAAAAATTTTAGGGTCCATCACCAAAAAAGGATATCTCAAAATAGTACAAGGGGGACCCTTTGGGTCGGCAGTGGGTCGAATCCCTGAGGGGGGGGGGGGGCGATTTTCATGTAGATTTACATTTGAATGCTGTTAAATAACTAAATTTAAATTTATCCTTCAAGTTTTTCCCTGAGAAAACCGTATTTTCCTTTGGGGAGGGGGGATATTGTTTGGTTGATCCAAATTCCTAGCTTCTTCACCATTTCAAACGTTGTGATAAAAGTGTTATTGAAAAAGCACAATACCTAATGTTGTGTAGATCGAATTTCCAAAAAATATATCAGCCAATCATAGTTGAGTGTTTGTAAGTTTGAAGGAAATTAGCTGGTAAATCAGTCATTTATAACGTTTTAACGTTTTTGGTTGAAAATTTTTGCGCATTCTTTTCTTTCGCCATGAGAATTAACAGCCAAAGACAAATGAAGAATCATAGCCGAAGAAAAATGAAGAAACAGATATATTTTCCAGGGACAGGAAGTGGCAGTGGGAGCATGGCTTGATTGTGGTAGGGTGCTTCATGGCTGTGGTCTGCTTCGCCATCCTCTACGTGCCCCTGGACATCTACATGACCAGACGGGACGAGCAGGCCAGCAAGAACAAGCTCATTCAGCCGAAACTGAACCAAAAGATAGCCATGAAAATGGAACTGGTCAAGGAGAGACGTGTGCGATCTTTTCATATCATTCGGATCATGGAAAAGAGTCAACTAATCAATTATAACATAGCCTATAGCGAAGTCTTCAAATAATTTATTGAATTAATTATAAAAATATACTGCGATGAAATATCATTGGTTGAGAAATGAAATTGAGCTAAGAGATGAATTCTGATAAAGTTGGTTTGCGATGAATTGTCGCTTTTCATAACTGCGACGAATTGTCGCTTGCGTCGAATTGTCGTCATACCACCCAGTCAACAAAATCAGACCTTTTTTTCACACCAGAATTTAATTCGGATTAGGTTTGCTAAGCGCTGAATGTAAAAGGCTCGATTGAGATTAGAACCAAGTCTGATTGAAGCCCTTTTGATCCAATTAAACATCCTCTACCTGATTGGGGGAAAGATGTTAACTCGAGCCCTTAAATGTTACCTAATTAAAAGCCATAATTGAACGAAAACTTGATTTAGGAAAGGAAGAAGAGCGAATGGAGAAGGAGGAAGCTGCAGAGCGGGCGGCCATGCACAAGGCATTTCTAGCCGAGGAGTTTAAGAAGAAGAAAGACTTGGAGGCCATGCGAATCAATGCACTCAACGACGAAATACGCCAAACGTCTCGATTTTGAGATAATCTGAAGTTACAAAAGAGATTTCGACATTCTAATTCATTCAAACACCAAAATAAATATTTCAAGATTGCTTTTGCAGCAAACAGCGAGGCAAATTCTGCCAACTGTCTTCATGGAGATGATGGAGAATTCTCAACACACACAAAACTCATATGAGTGAATGTGGACATACAGTTATTAAACACAATAGAAAAAGTTTCGAGTGATCATTGACAAACCATTTCTTTATAACCATTACCGCAATGACATTTTTTTGAAATATCGAATAGCAACATTTGTCACTATTTTTCGAAAAAAATCTTTTGCTTAACATTTTTTCACATTGTCAGATTTCTTGATGAGAACTTTTAGAGACTATTTTGCTTTTCTCTGTACCCTTGACTGCATTCATCCTGTCGAAAAGTTTAGTTCGTGTACAACCGCATAAACAGACAGGTGAATCAGCAAACAACTTTTCTAATAATCAATCGGAAGCGAGATAAAAACAATATCGAACAAAACTTGAAATTTGGGTCCGCCCAAAAGTGAGCGGAGAGAAAGTTCCTCTATCCCTATGCGTTGGTCAAGGTTCGGTCCTCACCAATGCTGGGTCGAATGATCGTGGTCATTCGTGGTCATTGCTTACGCAGTGAAGAGTGTTCGATTCAAGCCATTACTGGCCGGGATGTCGCTAATTACTGTGTCTGATGAAAGTCCCTTCAATTTTTTTAAGCTATCTTGACATTAATTTGTTGTTTCCTTTTCTAAATTTTTTTAGCGTTCAGTTTTTTTTTCTTTTTTCTCAATTTTTTCTCAGCTTTTTATTTTTCTACTTATTGGCATGTATGAAAACGTGGTTGTCTAATAACAGACAGCACTCCGTTGCCGAGGTATTCAGTCCAATGCAATGTTTTAGTTTTGACCAGGGGTTAGGTTGACTGCTAGCAAAATTTAGTATTTCAGTCTAATTTTTAGCAATTAAAGCAATCTAGCAACTTTCGTTACCAGAAAAATGGTTCATTTACTCTAAGAAGTTTTGTTTTAACCAAAAAAGTTTTCGAAGTTTCAATTAGAGTTCAGAGCACTATATTCGCAATGAAAATTTTTTGGAATTTTGTTGCGCAAAAATTTGAAAAAAAATCCAAAACTATTTTAGATTTTTTTTGCAGCATTTGTGTTTTGAACACAAATGCCATACACAAAAAAATCGCTAGTTTGATTGAAAATCTAGAAAAACAAATTTTTGTATTTTTTGTCTGGAAATTGGCTGGAGAATTTTGTGCAAGCTGCGGCTATCTTGATTCAATGCATATAAAAATTTGATCATTTAGTTTTGATCGTTGCTAAGAATCTTTTGTGTTGCGTCTTAAAAGATGGGTCATTTCAACTCAATGGGTCATTTAGACAAAAATAAATTAATTTAAAAAAAGTTTCTAAAGCTTAATTTAGAACTCAGCACTGCATTGGCAATAAAAAATTTCTAGATTTTTGTTGTGCAAAACCTTAGAAAAATTTCAAAAACTTGTTGATTTGTTTTTAATTTCTTAATATTCATTTTAAAATCAATTTTCTAGAAAAAGTATTGTCCAGATGCCTATTTTACTATGACGGTCAATTATGTCTAAATTCTAGTTTTCTTTCAGATCATTTTATCTTACAATGCAGAAAAAAGTAGACTAACTTAATATAGTTTTTAAAGTTTTTGGTTGGAACACTTTTTGCTATTGCACAGTAACTAACTATCCTTGTTTGTTTTAGTATTGGTTCTCGGGTATGTTTTTTTACAAAGTCACGTCAGAAATAGTCTAATGATTGATTCGACTGATATATAATACTCAATTTTTTCAGTCGTGACTAGAGCGACATTATAGAAAAGCAAAAAGTTTTGAAGCTATCTTTAGAATTCAGCATTTCCTTGGCAAGCAAACTTTCCTAAGCTTTTTTAGGAATTCTTTTTCAAGTTTTTCTTTTTGTAAAACCATTGCCACTTTCCAAAAATTCACTAGTTTGATTTAAAAAAAAAGAAAATTAAATTTTTGTAATTTTTGTATAAAAATTTTGGAAAATTCTGTGCGACTTTCAGAGCGAGCGGCTTTTTTAGATGCATATAAACTATTATATCTTTCAGTTGATGTCCATTGCCAACCAATCTTTCGTTTTGCGTGGTTTTTCGTCTTTATAATTTAAGTTCTCTGCTGTCTTTCGTTGATGTCTTTCAGTTGATGTCCATTGCCAACCAATCTTTCGTTTTGCGTGGTTTTTCGTCTTTATAATTTAAGTTTCTCTCCTTACATGGAGAAAAAACTGTGAATTTCTTTAATAAAAGTTGTTCCCGTTGTGTTTGAAAAACTCTGAAGCTTTTTAAGCTCAATTTTTTGGTGGTAATTAGGATATTTTTCGGGTCATATATCAGGAAAATCTTTTTATTGTACTTTTATTGTTTTGGGGCATTTTTTGAGGACTTTAGATTTTTTGAACCATTTTCTGGAATTATGTTTACTTGTGGAAAATTTCGTGATGCTAGTTTTTGTGTTGATGGAATGTTCCAATCAAATTTTTTAAAATTATATCAAGTTAGTCTACTTTTTTTGTGCATTGTAAAATGAAATGATTTGAAATAAAACTAGAGTTTAGACATAATTGACCGTCATAGTAAAACAGGCATCTGTACAATACTTTTCTAGAAAGTTGATTTTAAACTGAATACTAAAAAATCAAAAACAAATCAACAAGTTTTTGAAATTTTTCCAAGATTTTGCACAACAAAACTCTAGACAACTTTTATTGCCAATGCAGTATTATTAGACACAGTAGAAGTTCTAAATGAAGCTTTGGAAACTTTTTTTTAAATTATTTTTTTTTGCCTAAATGAGCAATTTAATTAAAATAACCCATCTTTTTTTGACTCACTACTAAAAATTCTTAGCAACGAACAAAACTGAATGATCAAACTTTTATATGCATATAAACAAGATAGCCGCAGGTTGCACAAAATTCTCCAGCCAATTTCCATACAAAAAATACAAAAATGTGTTTTTCTATTTTTTAAATCAAACTAGCGATTTTTTTTGTGTGGCATTTGTGTTCAAAACACAAATGCCAAAAAAAAGTTGACAACAATATTCTAACAAAGTTTTGGATTTTTTTTTTCAAATTTTTGGCCTAACAAAATTCTAGAAAACTTTCATTGCCAATATAATGCTGAACTCTAATTGAAGCTTTGAAAACTTTTTTTGTTAAAAACAAAATTTCTTAGGCTAAATGAACCTTTTTTCTGGTAACGAACGTTACTAGATTGCTTTAATTGCTACAAGTTAGACTGAAATACTAATTTTTGTTTGCAGTCAACCTAGCCCGTGGTCAAAATTAAAACATTGCATTGGACTGAATGCCTTGGCAACGGAGTGCTGTCCGTTATTAGACAACCACGTTTTCATACATGCCAATAAGTAGAAAAATAAAAAGCTGATTTTTAATAAATTTTGAAAATTGAGAAAAAAGAAAACAAAATCTGAACGCGAAAAAAATTTGGAAAAGGAATTAACAAATTAATGTCAAAATAGCTAAAAAAAATTGAAGGGATTTTCGTCAGAAACATTAATTAGCGACATCCCGGCCAGTAATGGCTTGAATCGAACACTGTTCACTGCGTAAGCAATGACCACGAATGACTTCAGACTATTTCAAAACCGAGACGTTTGGCGTATTTCGTCGTTGAGTGCATTGATTCGCATGGCCTCCAAGTCTTTCTTCTTCTTAAACTCCTCGGCTAGAAATGCCTTGTGCATGGCCGCACGCTCTGCAGCTTCCTCCTTCTCCGTTTGCTCTTCTTCCTTTCCTAAATCAAGTTTTTGTTCAATTAAGGCTTTTTAATTAGGTAACATTTCAGGGCTCGAGTTAACATCTTTCCCCTAATCAGGCAGAGGATGTTCAATTGGATCAAATGGGCTTCAATCAGACTTGGTTCTAATTTCAATTGAGCCTTTTACGTTGAACGCTTAGCAAACCTAATCCAAATTAAACTCTGGTGTGAAAAAAGATCTGATTTTATTGACTGGGTGGTTTGACGACAATTCGACGCAAGCGACAATTCGTCGCAGTTATGAAAAGCGGTAAATCATCGCAAACCAACTTTATCAGAATTCATCTCTTAGTAGTTCTGGGAATTATTCCATATCAAGTGCCAAACCCACTGAGGGATGACCGTTTGGTTGCTGTGCATTGGGTAATCATAATACTTTGTTTTTTTTTATGATGAATTGATCCGCGGTGAAGTTTCGCCGTTTGAAATGATATCAATTCAGCATCACTTCTGCTGTGAACTGCACCGTTTTGTCTAGCATTGAGAGGCCGTTCATGTTCACACGAGAAAGTTCCTGTTGAACCGAGTTCGAACATAGCAACAAATCCAAAGGCACCGGGTCCTTTGTAGATAAGATCATAATTTCTGCCGCTTTCTCCGCTAATAATTCAGTATGTCCCGGAATTGGATGTCCTGATTTATCCAACCATGTCGTCAAAGTAAGGGCTCCGAAGTCTCTTTGTCTTAACACGAGAATCTTCTCTTAATTTCCACCTGATTGGCCTGCTTCTCTTCCAATTACTCACTAAATTCAGTTTTCTTGCTGAGGATGTCAACGTTCTGGTGCTTGTCATGCATCATGTGCTTGATTGTCATATGGTAGCCATCCAATCCGACTATCCAACGACCAAAATAACTCTGGTGCATCGAATACGTCTTCAACAAGGATAGGGCTCGGTTACTCACACGCAACTTAAAGGGAGCACTCCCGAAGGAGGCGCGGTACATTTCTGCTTTTAGTGCAACGTATTTCATCTCAGTGTCCCTAAACACTTTGTTTCCGTATGCACCGGGACGGAGAACTGTTCTCCCATTCTATTCTTGCTCCTGATGTGGTATTCCAAAAATGGCTACCACTGAAGCATCGGTGGGTGTCGAGAACATACATGCTTTTCTCTGTGGGCATGTCTAGCACTGGTACTTCGCACAGTTCCCGCTTTATATTCTCGAAGGCTTCGTGAACTCTTTCTTTCCATTCGAACTTCTTCCCTTTGTTGCGCATCAGTTGCCTTAACGGGTAGACTTTGTCCTTTTATGAACTCTTGATATTAGTTCGCAAATCCTAGGAAGCTAATAAGCTGCGTGTCCGTTCTGGGAGACTTCCATAATATTACGGCCTCCACCGCATCCGGATCTGGCCTCTCTGAATGCCTGTCTGCCATGAATTTGTTGAGTCCCCAAGGATCTCTCATTTCGAGGGTT